ATATAATATTTATTTTTTTTGTTTTTTTTATTATAATATATACTGAGTTTAAATAGTATGTATGATTTAGTTAAATATTAAATTTATATCAAAGTTGATATTAAGTAGGTTTTGTATTATATAGAATATATTATAATTAATAAATATATTCTATATATTTGATAAGGTTGATTTAATTTAAATATTTTTCATCTTAATCAAATGATAACTTTTATTTATTTGCAAACATATGTATTAAGAAAACCCAGCAGTTGTTATTGATAATGGTTAAACATATTGCAAAGCAGGTATTGCAGGAGATGATGCTCCAAAAGGCTGTTTTCCTGCAGTTGTTGGAAGACCTAAACATTAATTTATGGCTGTTATGAACAGCTAAAAATATGTTGGAGATGAGGCTTTGGCAAAGAGAGGTCTTTTAGAATTAAATTACCCAAATTATATAGGTAGTGTCAATAATTGGGATGGTATACAATGTGTATATAAATAATATAGATATGGAAAAACTTTGGCATCATGTATTATTTAATGAATTGAGAGTTTCACCAGAAGATCACCCAGTTCTTTTAACTGAAGCTCCATTGAATCCAAAACATAATAGTGAAAAGATGACATAAATATTTTTCGAAAAATTCAAGGTGCCATCATTTTATGTTGCTATTCAAGCAGTGCTCTCACTTTATAGTTCAGGAAGAATAACTGGTATTGCTGTTCATTCTGGAGATGGTGTTTCACAAATAGTCTCAATTTATGAAGGTTATGCACTTCAAGATTCTTTTCTTAGAATTAATTTGGCAGGAAGACACTGTACACAATATTTGGTAAAAATCTTTGAGGAATTGGGTGTTTAATTCACAAAATATGAAATGGAAACAGTCAAAGACATCAAAGAGAAATTGTGTTATGTTGCTCTTGATTATGAAGACGAAATGAAGAAATATAAAGAAAGTGCTTCTAATAACAGACCTTATGAATTACCAGATGGAAATGTTATCGTTATCTAAAACTAAAGATTTAGATGTCCTGAATTACTCTTCCAACCATCCTTTATTGGTCTTTAAGTTTCAGGTATCCATGAATTAACTTTCTAATCAATTATGAAATGTGATTATTATGTAAGAAAGGATCTGTAACAATTTTAAATTTATATATTAGTTTTCAAAATATTGTCATGTCTGGGTGTACAACAATGTTCCCAGGAATCGCAGAAAGATTGAGTAAAGAATTAACATCACTTGCACCAAAATAAATGAAAGTCAAAGTTGTTGCACCACCTGAAAGAAAATTTTCAGTTTGGATTGGTGGATCAATTTTATCTTAAATATCAACATTCTAAGATAAATGGATTACAAAATCTGAATATGATGAAAGTGGTCCAGCCATTGTCCACAGAAAATGTTTCTGATATATAATAATTAATATAAATAATATTCATTTTGGATTATTCATTTTAATTTTATGGTCAATAATTGAAAATTCTTCTTTAGAACAATCTAATTATGTTGAATTAAATTAAGAATAAGCAAATCTTTTTCTCCAAGCCAATTAAGCTATTAATTCTACTTTTTATGATTCAATTTCAGTTAAAAATAATATAAATGGAGTGATAAATGCAACATACCATAAATTTCTTCTTCTTACAAATCCTTTACTAAATACAAAATTTAATATTTATTTTCTCATTTTTAAAAATATATTATTATTAATAATTAAGTTAATATATAAATAAATATTTACAAATATAATATAATCATAAAATTGAATGTAAATTATTTAAAATCTTTGCAAATTTTAAACAAATTTCTTAAAGCCATTCTTAATTGTTTTCCATTAAGTTTTCAAAATGTTTTTTACAATGGAGTCCAAATATGAGTGATTCTTCTTAATCAATATTATCATCAATTATAATTGAGATATCTTATTATTTACTAATTTTAATTCTTTTTTAAAAAAGTTCAGTTGAAGGTTAATCTAATTATTTTAATTCTGAAAAGTAATCTTAATATAAAATTTATAATATTCCCATAATAGCAAGAATTATAAATTTACATTACATTTTATGATTTATATTTTAATAAATCATATTATTTGAAGATTCAATTAAATTAGATATCAATAATCTAAAAATGAAATATTCACTTATAATCATTTTTTCTTAATAAATTCCAATTTTAATAGTATTTTTTGTATAATATTTAGTTCTTTTAGCAACAAATAATGGAGCTTTGATATTTTAACTTTTAAACAATGATAAAAATAATGAAGTTTAAAATAATTCTGGAATTTTATCTTTTTCTGTAAATTTTTCCATATTATTTAGTATTTAAATTGTTAATAACATCAATTAATTTTATCTACATTAAATAGAACTTTCACTATTAGGATTTTTTGAATTCTCATTTGATTGTAATATAAATTATTTTGTAGAACATGATTTAATTAATGGATCTATAATATTAGATATCCATTATTTAATAATACCTTTACATAATAGTACATCTTAATTAGAAATTGTTTCAAGACATTTTGTATATTTTTATCTAATTTATTTCAATTATTATAATTTTTGAACTCTTTTTTGCCTAATGATAAGATATATATTAATACCTATAATTTTTACTCCATCTTATATATGCTAAAACATATAAAAAAAGCACTTTTATGCGTGAAACATTCAAAAGAGATCTTTTTCTTCTTTATTAAATTTATTTTTCTCTTGATGTTGATTTTAGACGAATATTAGGCAATTAAGAAAAATCCTCTTGATATTTTGAAAGTTCTTTAGAATTTCTTGATTGAATTCTACTTGGTCTGTAACTTCTATTTGTATTATGATAAGCATAGGAATCTGATTAGTAATCATTTTTTGATTAAGACTAATAGTCATATGATTATGTTCTTTTTGAATCATTTCCATTTTATTATATCCCACTAGAAGAAAACAAATATTCTTAAAACTCTTAATCGAAAAAAGTAAATTGCTTTTGTCTAATAACTGGAGGTAGTTGAGAATTTTAACACAATTTTAATAATTTAGATATTTCTTTGTGTTTTTGTCCAATTTCTCTACTTAAAAATTCATTTTGCTATTTTAAGCTTACATTTTCTAATTCATACAATTTCATTTTTAATAGTTGATTTTAAGAATGCCTTATATGTTTTATATATATACTCGTTAGTTTATGTGAGATGACTATCTGTTAGTCCTTCTTTTCCTTATTAGGTTAAATCTAATTAGATTGCCTTATTTTTTATTTTCAAAGCATAAGGTTAAGGTTAATGATCATTTAATTTAGGACTAAACACTGCATTTTTATCAGTTACATGCAGATTGAACTATCCTGGTTACAGTAATTAGAGCATTATTTTGATGATGTAATAAAAAATTTAATAATAAAAATATGTAATCAAGTAATTTGTCTTAATATTATTAATCATATTCAATTGATAAGTTTCAAGTTAATTTTAATTAACATTTTAAATAAATTGATACCTATACCATTTATTGTTGGAATATATTATCATACTTTGATCGATCTTAAAAAAGCCTATCTGCAATTCTTTTCCACTAATTTATTCTTTCAGTTTATCCCAGGCACTTTTCTTTTATTAGAATTAAAAAAATTATCTATTTAACCATCACAAAGTCTTAAAAAATAAATCTAAAAGATTTAAATTAATCTTCCTATCACAGCATATCCAATTCGATCAGAGTTTTGAAGATACAATTTTGTAAGTTTAAAAAAATTAGCCTTAAAATATTTTGAATGAATAAATAAAATATTTAAATATGTTCTTCAATAATTTAAGCTGTATTCAAAAGTAATTTCATTTATTTCTTATAAACAAAATTTTTTTAAGTTTTTTATGTCTAACATTTATTTAATAATTTAAAATACATATAAAGATTAATTATTTGTTAGATTTGATGCTAAAATTTAATTGTTTTTATATAAAAAATAAATCAAATATGTTATCAATTTAAAATCTAAGTTGGAAGTTCAATTTAATTTTTTTTAATTAATGTTTGCTCATTTAAATTATTATGTAACCTTTTTGAGGATAAGAATTTTGTTATATCCTAAAAAGAAACTTAATTATATATCATTTTAATTTTCTAAAAGATTATATTATCTATTGATTTAGATTGTATTATGTTATTTGCATATAAAATATAAATTTAGCGTTTATTAAGGTCAAAGTAACATTCACAAAATACACCCTCTCTACTAATTAATAATTTTATCTTCTTTAATTATTTAGATAAATTTCTTAATTTCTCATTAATTTTTTTCGTTTATACTCCAATTTTCCTTTTTAATCTAAATTATATCGTTAAATAGAAGCAAAGAAAATTAAGTAAAATATTAGGGTTATCATTTGTTAATTAATGGATTTTATAATTTCTATCATAAAACTTGAATATAAATTAAAACATATCTATTTAATTAATGCCATTTGACCCCCAAATTTAATATTTGAAATACTTTCTATAATGATCATCTAATTAATGAATTTTTATTAAAGAAGTTATAATAATATTAAAGAATTAGATTGAAAATAAAGTTATTCACTATTATTAATTATGCATTTACTATATTTATTCTATTTTAATGATTTGTTATTGATTTAGTAATTTAAGTATCCTATTTTTATTTCATCTTGAGATTAATTAAAAAAGCTGTGCCTATCTTTATTTTCAAATATTAATCAATATTGAAACCATAAAATCATTCTAAATAAGTAGTATGATACATATTTAAAAAAGTGAACAGATTGATTAAAATAAGAATTAAGTCTAATATTTTTTATGTTTTTTAAAAATATTTGTTATAAAATTAGCATATAGATATAAATATATTTTAAATCAAATATTATTTTAAGATACTAGATTATTTACACTATTTCGAAAAAAGTTTTAGATATCTTCATACCATTTTTAATTTTCTTTTATTAGAACTTCATAGAATTCAAAAGTATTCAAACCAAATATAATTATCTCATTTTATTCAATATTCTCGTCCTCAATAATCTTTAGCTCTTGATTTTTAGTTTTATTAATATTTAATCTTTTCTAAATGATTTTTAATACTTTAGGTTAAAATAATTACATTTCTTTAAAGTAATTCATATAAAGAATTTAGATTAAACTACAAATTGATACTAATTAAAATTTAGATTCAGCTAAATGATGTTCATTTATACATTGTAACTAATTTGAGTTTTTAATTATTTCTTCAATTATTATATAATTGTATATGTAATCACAAATTATTAGTAATTATTCTTTTGAATTTAGTTTTGTCTTAATTCTTTTTGCTACATATAAACTACATTTCTTATTTATTTACATAATATGATATTAAGCATATTCCAAAATTTCTTGGTTTAAATTTTGAGCTTTAGTCATATTATCTAAATTCTAGAAAAACATTAAAGTTAAATTTATCATCCATTATTTACGATTTTGAATGAATTTTTTATCATTTGGGTTTTAGTTTTCTTTAAAATTTGAAGAAAATTTATTCTATTTGATTGAATTAATAACATTTTCCATTAATTTTTCATGCCATTTCATTTTAATATGTACATATTGTTATATATCAGAAGATTCTAATCTAGTTCTTAGATCTCTTAAATTTTAAATAGTTTTTATTTTTTTTTATCTCAATAATCTAATCAATCGAAATATAAAAATAAATATAAAGCCCCATTATTTAAAAATTTTTTAAGACCTTTAGTATTTATAAATCTCTTTTTTTCCATATTTATATGGTTATTCAAATCTGTTTTAAAAGAAATTTATATAATTTGGAATTTATTTATATTATTTCTTTTCCAATTAATAGTTAGAATTTTATGAATCAATATATATTTTAAAATCTAAGATCTAATTGCATTAATGCATATTCTTTTATAATTCAATAGGAATATCTTATTCCATAAAATAGGAAGGTGGTGAGTATTATGGATTTCTACAATTTATAGATATTGATCTTTGCTTATTACTGGATTAATCTTTATCTCCACTATAATTTAATTTGTCATCAATTGTTAGACATTAATTAATAGGATGTTATTATTATTTGAATTTATTTTAAGGTTTTCTTTCTATGATATCTAACAATATGGAATTTCTTTATCCTGCAAATAGATCCATTTCTTTTTTATGAACTCTTTATTATAGTAATAATTTATTTTTAATATCATCATCAATTTGATTCTATTATTACTATAATGATTTTCTTCTGTCTTATTCTTTTTAAACACTTCTTTTCATTAATTCATTTTCTATATATTTTGAAAGTTATGGTAATTGATTCTTTTATATATTTTTTATATTTTGATCAGGCTTAGACTCTTTCTTTGGATTTTTATTTGGTGGTAATAAAAATGAATGAATCATTTTGCTGTTTAATTTTATTTAATTTTTTATGGAACATATTATATAATTTAAGAAATTAAATAAAAAAATTAATCATTGTGATTCAATCGATATTATCACATATTTCAATTTAAGAATAAATATTCTGTATTGTTTTATCAAATAGCTTTCCCAATAATTTTGATAAAGTCTCTTTTTTCTTTAATAAATTCTTAACATGTTCTTCAGATTTTAATCCTACAATTATTATCTCTTATAAACATATATCTTTTGTGTCTATCATAATTAATTCTTAATTTTTATCTCCAGATATATGAAGTTTTCTTTAATAAAGTTTTTTATCACTAACATCTTCTCTTGAAGGCATATTAACAAAATATTTAATAAAATAGACATGAATTATACTAGCAAGTTCTATTATCTTTATTTTTTATTAAAGATTATGTTTAAGATGTTTATATTTTAATTTATTTACTTAATCAAACAATTAACTCAAAATTATGTTGAAATATATATATTCACTACCAATAAGTTAATACTCTGATTTTGAAAATGAGGAAATTTAAAATTTTAATCTTTTTGCAAGAAATAATGACATATAAGTATTCTAGGTTATTTAAGTTGCCTTAGATAATTCTTTAATAATTTCAATTGGAATATTTCCTTTTCTTGTTATTAATTCAATATTTTAAAATAAGAATTTGGCATAATTCAAACACCAAAGTTATTCTTAATCTTTAATTTTATCACTATCAATTAATTCATCATTAATATTATCTTCATAATTTTTTTCCATATAATAAAGTATTTTTTAAAAAGCTGGAGATGCCCATTCCTAAATTTTTTATATAAATTAATCATCTATTTTTCTGTCCATTTTAAATGCAGTTTTTAAACTATTATAATGATCTATCTTTGCTTTTTGAGCTTAATAATCAACTGATATATGTTAAGCCAGTCTAAGATACAACAAAAGTAGTCTCCCTATTATTTTGGTTATTATTCTGAATTTGTTAAGAATTTTTAATTTTTTTTTATTCTAACAAAATTATTTTGTAATTCTACCGATCTCTGTTTAATAATAAACTTTGAGAGGCATAATTTATTTTCTATTTGTATATCTTTAAGTTTATATAATGAAATTTTCAGGGTTCTATTAAAAGTTATCTCGTAGATTATTTCTAATTATTGTAGAAGGATTAATAGTTGACCTATGTCTGATTTTTTCAAAATGAGTATAATTTTAATCTAAATAATCGATCAAGTACTACCTATTTTTCTACTTAATTTTAGGTCTTCTTAATCATATACCATGGTGTAATTAACATCAGCTTTAATTTTTGAATTTAGTTAAGAATCCGCAGTTTTTAGTTAATCAATATAAACATCTAAGTTTAATGGTATTTAACGAGATGGTTTAACTTGTCTTGGAATAATGGGAGAAACTTTCCGTTTTGGTATTTATTATTATCGAACAGCCATTGTATGATAGTAAAAGGAGTCTTTATAATTATTCAATATGTAATCCTAATTGAGTGATAAAGATAATTTTTTGTGATTTTATCTCTACATGATTATTTTATAGTAATTTAAAAATAAGTATTTGAAATATGATCATAAATCTTAAATTTTATGTTAGTATATATTTTGAACTACTTTTTTGAACTATTTCACTAGATTGGAGAACAAACCTCGTCTTTCAAATATCAATTTTAATTAATCATATTTAAAGGTTCCTTTATAAAACTCTTCCATATCTGTTTAAATTGGAACTAATATCATCCCATATTTGCTTCTACCAATTTGCATTTATTAATATTTAAATTAAGAATTTAGTGTTTATACTTATGGAATATCTGAAAAAGTCATTATGAATAATTATTGAAGTATAGTTATAAATCCACGAATTAAAAATTAGATATTTTGATCATCTGCATTGAAAAACTTTTTATTTTCGGTAAGTAAGACTAAATTTGGAATAAAATTATTCATAATTACACACTCTGTTGCAATCATAGCCTTTTCAATAGGAGTTATTTTAGAATATTTGTTTTATAGATAATTAGTTCTTTTAGTCACAAAAATGTTATATGTTTATCTATATTCAACAAATTATTCTAAATAAGATTGATATCCAAGTTCTGGTAAAAAAGAGTTTTGTTATGTTGTTATTTCAAGATTAGAAATTAGATGAGAACATAAATTTAAAAAATTTGTAATAGCCATATCTTTTTAGAAACCTTCAATATTCCCTTCCTAAAGTCTTAATATATTAATATTACTATAAAATTCCATTATTTTAGTGTTTAAAATCTTAAAACAGATAGAACTTTAGTTAAGGATATTTGAGTCCATTATTTTATTTTGTTTTAGACTAATTTATCCTTAAATTTAAACAAATTAATTAACTAACAAAATAGTTACTAGTTTTAAATCCATTTTTATTTTAATGGTCTAAATTATTATAATTAAAATTAATTACCTAATTAATATCTACATTCTAAATACTGCTCTAACAATAATAACACAGATTTTAATTTTCTTATATTAAAATTATACTTTGGTTTTAAAATTCAATGTTGTTTACGTTATCATTGGATTTGAAACATGTGATACATCTTCATCTTCATCTTATTAAATATCTTTTTCCTTTAAAATATTATTTTTTTCATTTTTTAAAATACTATCATCAATTTCATTTGAGTCTTCTTTTTCATTTGTTATATCTAAATTACTTTTAAAATTTTTATTAATCTAAAAAGAATATTATCTTTTTCTAGGTGAATGATTCAAATAAAATTAATTCTATGTATATGTGGATTATCTTAAAATTTATTTTTTTCCATTATTTTATTAAAATGATTATTCATGAAGAAAATTATGATAAAATCCTAAATTTTCATCATTAAGACCATAAAGTTGTGTAGAATGTTAGAAATTGACTTAGTTATTATCTATTTAGGGTAATAGTAATTTCGTCATCTAAGACTCATTAAGTGCTTTTTATTAAAGTTCAGGAGTATGATTGTCTGAATTCATTCTTCTAGTTAATTAAACTGAAAGATTCAATGCGTTAGATTGATTAGGTAGAATAAAGGATGGCAAATTAAAATAATCAGGTTCATTTTAATTTATTAATTTTTATCCAATCTAATCTCCCTTAACTAAGCCTCTTTCTGCTGCACTTTGGAAATCAAATCTCGATCCTATATGTTTATGGAAGTTATACTTTTCATAAATAAATGCTCTAGAGATTTTAATAAATAAAAATATATTATGAAAATTTAATTGATATGATCTGTTCCTAATTTCAATTGTTTAGAATTAAAAAAATAAAAAATTACTTCATTTAAATAATGATGATTTTATCTTAAATATATACTTTACTCAATTATATTATTTTGATATTAACTCATATTACTAATATGTAAAAACTTAGTAATGAGTATAATCCAAATGAATTTGTAATAGAGGCTTAGAGTTCAAAAGCACCAAGTTCTTAGGAATTTGAATTTGAAACACAATCTTTCACTAGCAAAGAAGATCTTATAAATAATTAGAACTTTAAACCATTTTTATAGGAAAGAGATTCAACTGGAAAATTAGTTGGAAAAGATAAGAAGTTACATTTTCTTAAAGGTTAACAAATAGTATTATACACATCAGGGTCAAAAAGACTCTAAGTAAAATAAAATAAAATTTATTGTTATTAGTTTTCAACAACATCAATTTTAGGTCTCAATTCTAGAGCTGTAACAGCAGATGATAGGAGAATGGCAAAGCGAGAACCATTAAAGAATTTCAAATTAAACTTGTAAGCAGATTAAGGCTTTATCAAATAATTTCGAGAAATCACAAAACACATTAAACCATCATCCTAAATGAATAGTGGATTTTTAGGACCTCATAGAGATTATTATTATAAAACAGTATTTAGAAAATTCAATTAAACAAGACAAAAACTCCAGGCCCTGGCGTATATTAATCTCTTTATATTACAGCTACAAATCCAATTGAATTTCCAAAGAGTCCACAAATAAGTAAGCCTGCATAGCCAGTTTGTAGTAAGGACTTTTATGATTTTAATATGGTTCAGAAGAATATCTCTGGACCTTCATTTGTAAAAACTTAAAGCAGAGATAGTGCATATTAAAGAGGAATTTTCGCATAAATTGAGATAGAAAAAAGATAAACTTTGAAATAAAAACCAGAAGAATATGATGAATAAAGGATTGATAGAGAAATAGATTATTTACTACAGCAATAATAAAAATATGGAAAATTATGTAAAAAATATGAGAATATCATTAGCATAACCTAATTTAGCTTGGCCAGTTCCATTATAAAAAATAGAATTGCCCGAGAAAGTACATGGATAATGGACTAAAATGCTGTATTAATGAATATATATATATCAAACTAGAGAACGCTATGGATTTAAGAAGTAAACAGGTGGAAGATTAATAAAGAATACAAGTGCTTTATGATTATATTATGTCGAAACAGTATTTATTAATATTTATATATGACTGATAGAAAAGCTTGGAATTAAAAAGTATTATGATTATCAATAAATAAATGAATAGGAAGATCTAGCAATTCTTCATTTAGTTAAGTAATATGGGATAAAGAAATGGACAACTGTGGCTGAAAAAATGAAAGAAATATATGGGTTATTTGGTCGATCTGGTAAATAATGTAGAGAGAGATATCATAATCATTTGGATCCAACAATAAATAAAGATCCTTGGAGTGAAAATGAAGAGAAGATAATATTTTTGGCACATAGAGAACATGGAAATAAATGGGTAATAATTGTAGATTTAAAGATTTTAAGGCAGAGATTGCAAAATTACTTCCAGGTCGAACAGATAATGCAATAAAAAATCATTTTTATTCAACTTTAAGAAGAAGTTTAAGACGCATAAATAAAATGATTGGTGATAAAAACAGTAATCTGTGTAAATAAATATTTAGCAAAGAAAAGTGTACCCAATAGATCAAGGACATAAAGCCAGGTGTTTTGTCCAAGATCTTCATACTAGCTGAAAAAAATCCATCTGAACTTAAAGATGATCATATGAAAAAATTATGTTAAGCTTGTAAAGGATTATAAGATTCAATACTTGAATTTGCATAATCTAAACAAAAATCATTAATAATCTAATTTAATGAGGAAAAATTCAAATAATTGATAGAGAAAATTATGGACTTTAAGTATTACTCTAAAACACTATAATAAGCGGACTTTATACTAGATAAAGGGAAAATAAATTAAAATCAAGAAAATTAAATTTAAAGAAAAGAAAAAATATTATAGAAGATGATGATGAAGAGGATGATTTATATTCTAGTTTTTATAAAATTGATGATAATAGTATTTAAATTCCAATAAAGAGATCAATTAGATAAAGTTCAAGGAAAAAAATTGTAATAATTTCTTATATAATGAATAATAGAAATTCAATGATGAAGATGATCTTGATATTATTATAAGGACTAAATAAGGTCCAGTCTTTAAAATAATTTATGATAGATTTTAATTTTAAACAGATGAAAATGTATTTATTGTATTTATAAAAAGGAATCTTCTTAAAATTATTATTAAGAATCTTTAAATTCAAATTAGAGTGAATAGAAATAAATTTCATATTAAATAAATCCATCAAAGTAAATTTCTTAAAAATCAATTTCAAAAGATAATTAAAATGAAATAAATCTTAAAAATAATATAAATAATAATTCTAATTTCAAACCTATCATTTTGATAAAACCTGTAATTAATAATTAAGAATTTGATTAATATTTAGAAAAACTAAAATAAGGAATAAGTATAAATTATTTATTATAATTAGATGCAAATTCTTAAAAATATCTTTAAGGAGAAGATCTTAATTTAGATATTAATATTGATTTTGCAGATGCATCTAAAGATTTTACTAAATCTTTAAGCTCTAAATTTGAGTACACTTAAAATGCATTTAAAAAATACAAGAAAGATTCAGATTTAGATAATTTCTTAGTAACACCTAATAATAATAAATGAAACATTTAATCATGAAATTTCAAAATTATTTCCATGTATTCTAAAAAAAATCTACCAATATTAATATTTATACATTAGAGTTCATTTTATTAAGATTAGTTTCTAATTGTCAATGGATTTTGGATAAAAGGAGATTTCAGAAAATTATTGGCAATCTGATCTAAATTTATTCTCATTGATTATTAATAGCAATTTTAATTAACTTACTAAGATTGTAGTTATCTATTTTATTATTCCAATTTTGTACTGAGTTGATTACTTTTATTTTTCAAATTTAACGATTAAAAATTGAAATCTTAATCTTAAACCGATATAGCTTTTTTTGTCTTATTATTAAACTATTCTTTTTTCTTCTAAATAGGTGAATATTATGATTAGATTAATGGACTTTTTGAAATTCTTAATTATTTATCCTCTGAAAAATTACAATTTCCCATTCTAGGAGTAATTGATTATTAAATATTGATTACTTTTTCTTTTAAAGTAGCCATTTCTTTCTTTAGCTTTTATTATTTACAAGAGCCTAAATCTTAAATTTAAAAATACTTGCAATAAGTTTAATCGTTTCAATTGATATATCCTATGTTTTACTTTTCATAGCTGATATTCCAATTATCACTAAGTATTTGATTAACTTTTATGTAAGTTTAAGATCATACTCTTAGATAAATGAGCTTAATTCTTTAATATTCATTGTTAATTTATATACTTCTAACAATTAATGAAACCAAATTTTATGAATATCTCAATCTTTAACTTAGAATTTAATAATTATTATAATCTTAAACCCAAATGTGAGGTAAATTGAGATCCTTAAATCAATGTCTTAATATATTGATAATATACAAAAATCATATAATAATTGATATATTATTAGTCTAAATATACAAAAGATCTACATATAGTGTTTTTCTTTTTGAAAGACTAATATTTTCATTAATTATTGAAACAATTTAAGAAAGAATAAAAAATATTAGAATAAGGAAAATGTTTAATAATTATTAATTGACTTTTTTATGAAATACATGTTTTAATATTTATAATATTCATTTAAATTGATTGATACAAAAGGCTTTAATGACTTGTTCATCTTTAAACAATATGTATTCATGTACAAATTCATCTTTTTATATGAAACTTATTTCTTAACTCTTCCATAATTCATAACTTTATATTAATGATGGTTCTTAATCAATATTAATCTTAAAAACATTTACAAATAATTAGTTCTAATTATCTTCACATTAATAAATTGTACTAATCCATATGTAATAATTTTCTTTGTATTTTGATAAGTTGATTGATTATTTTTTTGTTGTTTAGACATCAAATTATCCATTTATTAATTCTTAACACTTGAAAGTACTAAAGTAATCTATTTCATGTTCCTTATTACAAAATTTATAGAATTTATCCATTCGATCTTTCATAACTAAAACATATTGATCTTAAATTTCTATTATAAATTTTAATTTATATTCTGATGGCATCTATATATTAATTGAGAATAAATCTCCTGAACCATCAAATAAATAGAATTCTTCATCTGCTATAATCAAAATATGATTAGTATTGTAAATCTTTAATGTTTAAATTTACTATCCTTTTTTAAATTTCTTTCCAGTATGATATCCATTGGGGTAATTTAACAATTCTAAAACTATTGAATTTTCTAATTTATAAAGTTCAATCAAAGTCACTCTATCTTTAAAGGAATAAACATTATAATTAGACTCAGATTCTATTTAATATCTAATTATTATTATTATACTATTTATAAGGTAAACTTGGAATTAAATGAATATTTGTATGCTCTTTAGGATTGAATTGTACTAAACATCTATTACCCTAACGAGAAATTAAAGCTAGAATGTGATTTTCATTTGCAATAATATTTGATAATACTGCCAATCCTTATCCAATTTAATAAGGTTTCTCAGAAATACATTCTCCATTCTTTATTTCAAAATAAAGAAGCTTTTAATTACTCATAGCTAATGAAACAGATCCTTAGATAAATAAAATAAATACTTAATTTTTATTCAACTTATTATTCACCAAAGACAACATATCCATCTTTCATTTAAATGATCTGCTTAATTGAATTAAATGAAGTTAAATCTAATTGAAATCCTATATATTAATCCATTATTTAAAATAATAAAATAAAATTGAATAATGATAATAATTATTTGAACCTAAAAATATTTTACGCTTTACTATATTAAAAATAATAAAGTAATATTAAAAAAATAGATTTAGATCATAATATTTAATAAGTTTTGAATTAATAAAATAAAAGAATTATTATTGAAATAATTTAAATTTCAATATTAATTTATAAGTAAATATTTGAAAATCATCTTTATTGTTTTTATAAAGATTACTTATTATAATGAATAATAGTTGAACTTAAAAGAGAGGGTTTTTCAAATATTCAATTTATAATTATGAATCAATATTTATTTGTATAATTAGTATGATTAATTTATGATTACTATTTTAGAGGGAAATAGTTATGATTTTTTAAAATTAATGCTTTTATTATTTTATTAATAGAAAAGGAAATTATATGTAGTAATAATTTATTTAAATAGTGAGTATGATTTCATTATAAAATTATGTAATATTTCTTTCTATTTTTTAGTTAGAAAATCTTAGTATAATAAATTTATGATAAATATTCATTATTTTTTTTACAATATTATAATAAATGAATAATGATAATACAAACAACAATGAAAATTTAAATGGATTAGATCTTCAACTTAGCATATTTGGAATATAGTTTTATGCATTAGGATTTGATTAATATTTTTATATAGATGTTCCAGGATTAAATAGGGTAGATTATTTAGATGAAGAAGATGATATCATAGGAGAGTGGAGATAATCTCATAGAAGAGAAAGACATTCACCTAGGTAATATATTGAAAGAAATGTAGGGAAAAATATTAAAATCTTTAAAAATATCTTTAAAAGTGTACAGAGCCTATTTAAAATGATCATTTGGATTAACAATAACCATACATCAAAGTTACTTCCTAAAGAAATATGAGTGTTAATAATTAATATTTTATTAACGAATTTGGGTAATTATAATAAGGATTTTTATAGACTGATTGGCTCTCTAAAAAATACAAATTCAAAGGATATTCTAATAGGAAGATCTCATAGAAACTAAAATCAAGATCTTATTCCTAATGATATAAGTAGAATTGAAATAACATTTTGATTAGTATTACCAGAAGATCGTGTAATTTCAAGAATTCATTGTAAAATAGTTTGCAAAGATTACTTTAGAAAAGATTAAATTCTATAAAGAAAATATTAATTGGTTCTAAAATATATTAAATTACCAACCTTAGTCAAACATAAAATAAGTTAATTTTTAGAGTATTTTAATTTTAAATTATATATTAGAGAACCAAAGAATGTATATGTATAAGATTTAGGTAGTATATGTGGAACTTATCTGAGAGTATTCAGATAAGAACCATATTTGTTATCTTATGATAATAAATTTAGTATAGGCAGTGATACTTATTTTAGCATTGTATTAAATGAAAATTATAAATTAAATTCAAAGGAAATTGATTAAGAATTTTATAGAACATTAAAAAGTTTATCTTGTTTGAAATTATCATAAAAACATGAAATTCATTTTGGAGATAAAGTTAAATAATAAGAATTTTAATAATTAGAAGAAGAAGTAACTAATATAGGATTTAAAGAACTTTATAATAAGTTAAAAGAATATAAAGTTCCAATTTTAGCAATTAAATTTTCTGGTTAAGGAGTTGAATCTAATAAATAACATAATATTCTTATTGGAAAATCTAATTTAGATACAGATGAATTCTGTATTGGAAGAGGAGCTGATAATACAATAAAGATTAATTCAAATACTATTTCTAGAAAATAATGCAGAATTAAATATTCAGCTTTGTAAAAAAAGGTTTCTATATAATATTGTTAGATATCAATCTTGGGTGATTTCAGATGGATTTTAAGATAGAGATTCAGCTAATGGTACTTGGGTCAGCCTTTCAACAGTTGAATAATCAGAAAAGAAAAAGGAATCAAATTAAATTTTATTGAAAAATAATTCAGAAATAAAAATAGGAGATTTCATATTAAAAGTTGAATTAGTTAAAGGATAGAAGACTAAGTTTGGACAATATATTAAAGAAATGATGTCTCTTTGATTGATATTTTTTATTAATTAAATAAAAAGTGACGCTATTTTTGTGATTCTTAAAATGATATCTTTTTTAATCTCTAAATAAATTTATTTATCATAATAATGAGCAACGTACCCAATTCACATCATCCACCTTAAGCTCCATAATAAGGTGCACCATACTAACCAGCTTAATTCTAACCTGGATTTGCTCCTTAATATGCTCCAGCTCCTATGACTTATGGTCCACCTCTCACTTCATCACCATTGAGATATTCTCAACCTCTTTATTAACCATCTGTTGTAGCATAGCCAGTATATGCCCCATAAGTTGTCTAACAACCTGTCTATGCTCCTCCTGTTGTTTAACAACCAGTCTATACTCAACCAGTTGTTTAACAACCAGTCGTAACATAATCTGTTGTTGCTCAACCAGTTGTTGCATAACCAGTTGTTGCAGCATAACCAATTAAAGGAGAAAGTAGAATTGAATATGTCCCATACGAAAAGACTGTTTTAGAATATGAAGAAGTAAGATAAAAAATTCAAGTTCCAAAAGAAAGATATGTGACTGATTATTATGCAGTGGAATACTAAACAGAATATGTTCCATAAGTATTCTAAGAAAAATATACAGGTATTAATATATATATCTATATTAGAATACGTCCCAGTTGATAGATATTAAGAAAGAGTTGAATATTATCCAGTTGAAAGATAAGTTGTTCATTAATAAGTCTAACAAGTCTAATAAGTTGTAGCTTAACCAGTAGTTTAACAACCAGTCTAAGTTGTTTAACAACCAGTCTAAGTTGTTTAATAACCAGTTTAAGTTGTTTAACAACCTGTCTAAGTTGTTTAATAACCAGTCGTTTAATAACCATTGGTTCAATCAATCCCAGTCTAAACTGTTCGTCCACCTGTTTATGCTCCATAATCATTACCTTTAGCTTAAACTGTTTCACCAAGATTACCTCCATAAGCTTAAGTAATATAATATTTTTATAATTTTAGACAAAACCATAAACCCAATAACCATAACAAAAACAACCATAATAATAATAACAATAGAAACAAAAGAGCTTTTTGGATAGACTATTCGACAGAGATTGATATAAAATATTTTATTAAGATACATATATCAAATCAAATTTTGTGTTATTATTATACAAAAATTTATTAATTTATAATCATTATATTTAATATTTTCTGTAATGAATAAGTAATTTACTCCTTAAAATAATCAAGAACTCTAATAATAACAATAATTAACAACAAATTAGCCACACATTCCTTAAGAAAATAACATCAAATATTGCCCTGTCTTCTATATATAACCAAATACGTAATATAAAAGAAAATAAAATTAGTTTCCATATGTCAAACATTTAATAGTAACATACAAATGATTATTATAAATCTTGGTTTGTTTATCATCCAATTATGCCAGATGACCCATTTTTTTCTTATCTATCACATATTTCTAATAAAGTACAAAAACTGTAATAATATTATCCTCAAATCCCTATCAAAATAGAAAATGATCAAGAAATAGAACAACCATAAATCTAAAATTAAACTAGTTAAATTAGCTTAAACAAAACATTAGAATAATAACAACCAAAAAAGTAGATAAAAATAAAAAAAGAAAATAATTTCTAAAAAACTACAGATATTTAACCATGTAATTGTTCTTAAAGTAGTTGTCTTAAAAGATATTGTTAATGTTTTCATAGTGGTAGAATGTGTTTGGATGAATGTTAATGTAAGAACTGCAAAAATTGTGAATTATTTTCAAAAGACAGAGAAGCAGCAATTAATCATATTTTTTAAAAATGTCATAGAGATAAAAATGTTCCTGCAAATGAATTATTATCTTTATAAATTAGTTATGGATGTAAATGTAAATCTACTGGATGTTAAAAAAAATATTGTGAATGTTACAAAAGAGGACAAGTCTGTGGAGACTAATGTTCTTGTGAAGATTGTCTAAATATTCCATTTCAAATAACTTATTAAGAAAAATAGAGAAAGAAAATCAATATATAAAAATGATTCATATTTATTTAAATTTCCAATTATATTTACTTTTTATATACTCATTAAAATTATATAATATATATTCGTAATAATATATATTATATAATTTTTAGATAATATATTTTAATGCAATATATCATAGAAATATTTCATAAATTTAATCAATAAACAATAAATTCTATTCTAAAAATCATGAAAAATAGTCTAACTCGAAGCCAAAAATATTAAAAAATAAATAATAATGATGAATCTCCTTAATCTTAATATGATGGTAATATAATATACTATTTAGTTTAAATAACTATAAATACTAGAAAATCTTCAATATCTATAAATACTGTTAAAACAGTAAATTTAAGAATAGATGATAAAGCAAAAAAAAATGTTAAAGATGTTGTCTTCTAATAGAAAAAATAAATAACTGAATTAATACATCCAAAAAATTATTTAAAGAGTGAACATACTGATAAAAATTTTCATGCAAAAGATTAATAGTGTGAAAATCTTATTTAAAAAAATCCATCTAGTCCTAATTCTATCAAAAAATAATTATAACTTAATTAATTAAAATTCACTAAACCAAATGTCTCACCGAATAAGAAAACTGAAGATTTAAAGAATTAAATTATGAATGTAAGTGATAATTTATATACACCCACTGAGAGAAGATAAAAAAATTTAAAAACCTATTTATATAGTATAAATAAATAAGAGTCAAAATAAGAATTAGAGAAAAAATTGAATGAAGGAGATAGTTTTCAAATAAAAATTAAATAGGATGTAACAAAATCCTAGAATGCTTTTAAGTTAGAAAAAGAATAATAATAAAAATGTTAAGAAGAATTATCTAAATGCTAACAAGATTTATAAAAAGAAAAAGAATAATAATAAAAAATTTAAGAAGAATTGTCTAAATGCTAGTAAGATCTATAAAAAGAAAAAGAATAAAGAATAAAAATGGAGGAAGAAAATAAAAAGCTTAATGATATTCTTTAATAAAAATAGATTGAGATAGATCAATTAATGAGTAAAAATAATACATTTATGCAACTAATTAAAACAATAGATGAAAATATCTCTTAAATATATTAAAAAGAAGTTAAAATTTTAGTAAAAAATATATAATTTACCTGAAAATTATAGAAAAGTAAAAATAATATTGATTATTTATATTTTAATATTATTAAATTTAAAATATTCTTTAAAGAAATATGAAACTGATATAATAATCAATTAGAATATATATTCATTCATATTATTATCAGTCATTGTAATATAAATAAATCTAATTCAATTATAGTCATATATTTTCTTAATTTTAATTATCTTTTTCATTCTTTTATAAAAGTATATCATTTTCTTTTTATAATTTTTCTAATTAATCTTTAAGTTATTAATTTTATTCTAAAATATTTCCTAATTCATGTAATTTATCTTCTTATTTTTTTATAATCTCTTTTAAATTTTAATTTTCCTAGTTCAATCTTTTAATTTCTTCTTATTATTCATATCCTGTTTTGAATAAAATTTTTGAAGGACTTTCAGAAGGCTTTAAATGATTACTAGTATTTCGGTGATAATAATTATTAACAGTTTAAAATTATCTTTATTTTTCAGAGACAATTTATGGAATTTAAAGTTAGAATTCTTTTTTTTTTTTGTGTACAAATTCAGTTTAAGGTGTACTAGTCTTATGAAATCCAGTTGATAATTGTGAAATATGTCTTTTCTAAGTTGGAGTTAATAAATTAGAAGTCAACTTATAATTTTAAGGTGATAGTAAAGGACTTTATGATCTCATTATAATTAATTCTAAATAAAATTTATTTTAATTTAACACATCAAAAATATTCCAAAAGCTTTTTAATTAAATAATTATTTTATAGAAATATAGTATTTAAGTATGAGTATATTTTATATATATTGATGTTTACAAAAATAATTAGGATTATTCATTCTGTTATTATTTCTACTTTTGCTCCTTATGTTTTAACAATACAGCAAAAATATAATTCTCTCTTATGATTTCGTAAAACTACTGAGTATCCTTCATTAGGTTTCTAATTATATGATAATTGTTTACTAAAACTTTTTTCCAAATGACTCTTTTAAGAGAGGGTTCATAGGTAACTTCTATAACTTCATTTTCAAAAAATTTAAAACCTTTAGTTTTCCAATTTAATTCTTCTTATTCTGTATTAATTACATCTTTTTATAATGTTTAATATTACATGAATCTTAAAAGCAAACGAAAGCTCCATTATTTAATGCATTTAAAAAAGGTCTAAAATCTTTAGATTTTAAGATTTTTTTATCACAAATTCCAACTCCAATATCTCCTACAAATTTTGGAAATTTAAATTATATAGAACTAGTCTCTATTTAATTCAATCTTTATTCAACAAGTGCAAAACAATAATGAGTTTAAGTTTGAGTTTATTCAATAATACGTTCTTCAATAATTTTTATACTTGGAAATTTTGCATTATTATCAAATCTATATTTTAAACTTGAATATCTTGGAATAATTTAAAGATCAATTTATAAAAGTTCTTTAATTTATTATTCCCATAATGTAAATGTTTTTTTAATTCTTTTTACTAATTGATCATTATACTTTGGAATCTACTCTTCATTTTATTAAGCATTTGCTTTATTCCAAATTGAAACTAATTCTTAAGTTTCATCATCAATATATTAAGAGTTATCATTATCAATTTTATTATCATAAATTTAATCAATTTGATTTGTTTAAGATTGCTCAAATTGCTCAAAAATAATTGTTTCAATTTAAAATTCAAGTTTTCCAAGTTAAATAATAACATTTTATTTAAATTCAGAAAATGCTTATCGAACTTCTTGTGTTTTTTCATAAACCTCAAAACAATCCTAATTTGCAAACATTTAAATAATAAATAATAATTAGATGATTTTTTTATTTTAATAAATAATAAGTTAAATATAATGTGATTATTAAATTATAATTATAAAAATTAAATAATGTTTAAAGGATTATGATGATTTTTAATTTAGTCATTACATAAATCAATATATAATGAATATATAAATAATACTCAAATTATATAAAAGTATATAATTATAAGAAAAGCAATCAAAAATTTAATATAAATTTGCTTAAATTGATATATGTAATTTATTACTTAATTATATCATATCTTATTTTGGTTGTAAATTCTTTCTATTATATATTTTATCAATTAATATTTCTAAAGTAGAAATTTCTTATATAAAATAATTTAATGGATTAAAAAAAAATTGAGACTCTTATTAATGAGGCATTATAAAATCCAGATCCTGATATACAATATATGAGAGCAGAAGAAATCAGTAATGAATTGACAATTTATTATGGAAAACCAGAATAAAATGAAAAAAATCAAAAAATTATTAATGAATGTTATAAAGTATTTTATTAGCATTTATCATCTCAATATAGAGAGATTTAAGGTAATATTATAAATATTTTAATTTAGGAAATGCAATTAGATAATTTTAAAGATTATCTCCATTAATGAGATCTTAAGAAGTTTAATATATTACAAAGGAATTATTGAAGTCTTCAACCCAAAGTATGAATGATACAAGAGAGAATTATCATATTTGTCTTTTAGAAATAGTTGAAAAGATTCCTAGTATAGTCTAATGTTTAAATGAAATTTAAGAAGAAATTATTAAAAGTAAATTACATATTAAGAATAATTAGAATTGAGAGAATTAAAAGAAGCAATTAAGAAATTATAGGTTTCTAATTAAATAGTCCATTAAGAGATTTAATAAAATATTGAAATATAGGCTGAACTTTTAAAGATTTTAAGTTTAATAATGACAAGATGGCCTAAATTATATTAGAAAGACTTTAGTGATTTATTATTAGATAATATAATAAATTCAAATGAATTATCAATAAGAAAAAATTCATGTGTGTGTTTAGGATATTTAGGATTATCCCTTAGTTAATAAAGTCTTAATGATTTAATTTAATAAAGTATAATAAGATAAAAATAAATATAGGAATATTACCACTTGTTAAAGAATTAAAATTTGATTAATAGAGTTTTGCAAAATAATTGTTTTTAAATTAAAGTTTAAATCATTTGGCTAAGAATTCTGGAAAATATTTTGATAAAGTTTTAGTTGAATAAATATTTGAGAGATATTTTTAGATATAGAATGAATAAAATAAAATAGATTTAGATAATGTTAATTAATATGCTGAGATATTAGAAATTTAATTACTTACATTAAATTATTTAATTTAAAATAATTATGCTCGTGCATTTGATATTTAATTGATTGAATAAATTACACCTTTAATTGATTTTGATCCATTAGGAGTAGCAACTGTTGAAGAAAATCCATATGATGATGATTATTATTTTGATGAAAGTAGATTTGTATAATAAATTCATTAGCAACTGATTCAACTTGGAGAGTAAGAAGATGTACATTTTATACATTCTAAGAGTTATTAAAGATTCAACCATAATTATATAAATTAATATTATCAGCTCTATTTGGTCCAAATCAAATTATTATGAAAAGAATGAATGAAAAAAATGCAGAAATCAAATTATCTATTATTTAATTTTTAATTAATTTAGTATAAGCATCAGCAATAATAAATGAAGATCTAAATTCTACTGATGAAATTTAATAATTAACATTAATAAAGTAAAGATCAATTCCACCTTCTATTTCATTAATTGAATTGATAGAATAACTTTTAGAAAAAATCTAATTAATTTTTAATGATTCTTAAGAATAATAATCTTTAAAATCAGAATCAACTAAATTATTATTAGCTATTGGATAATATTTTCACTCTTATATATAAACATCACATTCATGTTACTTAAAAATAGTTGAAATTATTCATTAATCAATTATTGGTTCTTCTATTAATTATTCTAATGAATAAAAAGTATTTATATAATTATTAAATTAGCTTGCCTCTATTTTAACTATGAAATCTATACTTAAGATTACAGAACCAGTTTCATTTTAAGTACCAATTTTATAGTAAATGGTTTAAATACTAATTGAAGCAGTAAATTAAAAATATATCAGAATTCAAGTTGAAGGATATAATACTATGAATATATTAATTGGTGTATTAAAATAGAATTATTAAGAATAATTATTTTAAGAATCATTGATAAAAATTAAATAAATTTTAATTATTAAAATATAGATTGATACTTTAGATTAAGAAGTTAAATAAAGTTTATTATCACTTGCTACTACATTATTTAAACATTTTGAATCACTATTTACAAAAACAGAAATTGAATAATTAGCTCAAACAGCTTAACTTAGATTATAGATTGAATACTTAACAATTCATATTATGTTACTAGTACAATATTTCAAAAATCTCAATGATCCTAAACCATTAATTTCAAATATAGCTAATCAACTATAGAAAAATGACAAAGCTTAAATATTTATAGCATTAATTCATTTAATATAGAATAATAAAGTTGATTAAAATCTTGCTATTGATATATTAAGTAAATTCAAATAAATTACAACAGAAAATTATGATTTATAAATTTAAACACTATAAACATTAATAAAAGTTACTGGAATTAAATTACCTGAATAACTTGTAAGAGAGACTGTTAAAATTGGTTTATAACAAACAAAAATAAAACCTGAAATTGAAGATTTTTTTAATTTGGTTAATTAATAAAAAATAATTGAATAAGAAATTACTAAATAATTAGGAAAAGAAGAATTATATCCTGCTGGATAAATTTATTGTTCAATATTAAAAAATGTCCCTGGTTCATTAAGTTCTTTATATTCTTCAATAACAACTAATAGATAATTAAAATTATCAACTTTAAGATTTTTACATAAATTTCAAAAAGATTAATAATCTATTGATATTTTATGTTAATTAATTAAAGATAATCAAGATTCTGATTTAGCTGCATTTGTAATTGGCTCAGCTGTTTGTGATTTTTAATAAATAAAAAATTTGATTGATTAATATCCTAATTAATATTAATTTTATCAAGCATTAAAGGNTATTTTCACTCTTATATATAAACATCACATTCATGTTACTTAAAAATAGTTGAAATTATTCATTAATCAATTATTGGTTCTTCTATTAATTATTCTAATGAATAAAAAGTATTTATATAATTATTAAATTAGCTTGCCTCTATTTTAACTATGAAATCTATACTTAAGATTACAGAACCAGTTTCATTTTAAGTACCAATTTTATAGTAAATGGTTTAAATACTAATTGAAGCAGTAAATTAAAAATATATCAGAATTCAAGTTGAAGGATATAATACTATGAATATATTAATTGGTGTATTAAAATAGAATTATTAAGAATAATTATTTTAAGAATCATTGATAAAAATTAAATAAATTTTAATTATTAAAATATAGATTGATACTTTAGATTAAGAAGTTAAATAAAGTTTATTATCACTTGCTACTACATTATTTAAACATTTTGAATCACTATTTACAAAAACAGAAATTGAATAATTAGCTCAAACAGCTTAACTTAGATTATAGATTGAATACTTAACAATTCATATTATGTTACTAGTACAATATTTCAAAAATCTCAATGATCCTAAACCATTAATTTCAAATATAGCTAATCAACTATAGAAAAATGACAAAGCTTAAATATTTATAGCATTAATTCATTTAATATAGAATAATAAAGTTGATTAAAATCTTGCTATTGATATATTAAGTAAATTCAAATAAATTACAACAGAAAATTATGATTTATAAATTTAAACACTATAAACATTAATAAAAGTTACTGGAATTAAATTACCTGAATAACTTGTAAGAGAGACTGTTAAAATTGGTTTATAACAAACAAAAATAAAACCTGAAATTGAAGATTTTTTTAATTTGGTTAATTAATAAAAAATAATTGAATAAGAAATTACTAAATAATTAGGAAAAGAAGAATTATATCCTGCTGGATAAATTTATTGTTCAATATTAAAAAATGTCCCTGGTTCATTAAGTTCTTTATATTCTTCAATAACAACTAATAGATAATTAAAATTATCAACTTTAAGATTTTTACATAAATTTCAAAAAGATTAATAATCTATTGATATTTTATGTTAATTAATTAAAGATAATCAAGATTCTGATTTAGCTGCATTTGTAATTGGCTCAGCTGTTTGTGATTTTTAATAAATAAAAAATTTGATTGATTAATATCCTAATTAATATTAATTTTATCAAGCATTAAAGGAATTTACAGAAATAAATTTAATAAATAATCCAATAGAAATTGCTCAATATATTTTGAATTAGGTTAATGGAAAAGATAAGATTATTTCAACAATATGTGGTGATATATTAGGTGGTTTATTTAAATAAAATTATAAATCACTTGAATAAATTTTATTTGATAGTATTAAAAGTGGATCTTAAACTGTTAAATATTCTTGTATTTAAAGTTTGAAATATACACATTAATGGACCAATAAAGCTTAAATCTTATTAGAAATGCTTTAAAATGAAAAAGATATTCAAATTCTTACAGGAATTATTAAAGCACTTACATAAAATATATAATATATTAAATTAAATAATTTAACTTAATATTTAACTTTTTGTTTAAGAAGATATGAAGAAAAAGAATTAAATTTTGGTAATTTTGTTGAAAAAAGAGATGATGCTAAAGATTTAAGATCATTATCATTTGATTTATTAGAATCATTCTTAGATTTATAAAATCTAGAATTGAAATCAATCTTAATAGAAGTATTTGACAAATTTGGTAATTATTATCTTAATTATACAATAGCTGAAGATAAATATGAAGAAACTAGAATACCTAGATTAAGAATTATTGAAAAAATAATTAAAAGAAATCCTCTTGAATTAACACCATTTTAAGATATCTTATTAAAAACGTTTGAACCTATTCTTAAAACATTATAATAATAAATATAAAAATAAGATCAAGTAAAATATAAATTAATTATTAGAATTTTGATAAAGAAAAAGAAAAAATTAAATTAATAATTTAAATTCTATAAGGATTAAGATAAAATTCAAAAGAAGTTGATACATTATGCATGAAATATCTAACAGAATAAGTCTTAAAGACTATATGGTAATGAGAATAAAAAAATGTTATTATAATAAAAAACCAGTTAATATAATTATTAGTAATACTTTCTATCATTAATCATCCCATGCTATCCGTTTACCTTTACACCATAGTCCATATTTTCCGTTCTTATTCATATAAAAACATCCTTTACCATGTTACTTACCATTCTCCCATTCTCCTTCATATCTTCTACCATCACCCCAATCATAAATACCATAACCCTTTATATATATATTAAAAAAGATACATGTTTTTTATCATTTAGATATTATCCTTCATATCTTCTTCCATCTGGCCAAGTATATATACCTCTACCATTCATATTACCAAGATAGAAATCTCCTTCATATTTTCTTCCATCTGTCCAAATTAAAATTCCCCTTCCTGATATTTTATTTTCAACCCAATCTCCTTCATATTTTTAACCATTTCTCCATTAATACTTACCTTTACCATGCTTTAAAGAATTCTAATAATATCCTTGATATTAAGAGCCATCAGGCCATAATTCAATACCATATCCATGTTACTTATCATTAAACCATTCTCCCTCATATTTTGGACCATCAATATGTTTATAGACTCCATATCCATTAGACATATCATTTTCCCATTCTCCTTCATAAATATCCCCATTAATATGAGTAAATTTACCTCTTCCATGAGCTTTATTATGTTTCCATTCACCCTCATATTTAGCACCATCTGACCAAATTTGGATTCCATATCCATCCCTTGAATTTCCTCTCCATTCACCTGTATAAGTAGCTCCTCCAGGGAATCTAAATATTGAAATAGAATACGTATAAGTAGGTTTTTCAATTCTAGTTTAATCATCATGATTTATTGTAATACCACTTTCAACAGTTTCAGTTTCAAAAGCATAAAGTATTTTTTGATCATCAACCTTACGTCTAATAATATAACCTCTCCAATATTTTTAGATAACAGTTGCCATTTTATTTTTTATCATCCATGTCTTTTGTGTTTTAGAACTGGTAGTTTGAATTGATACACATTCCTAATTAATAATTATGTTACTTATATTTCAAATGTTCTCTTATCACAATTACATTGAGAACATTGAGAACCCATTTAAATATATAATTATATTTGGCATTTCTTTAATTTTGAACAATTTATTTTAATAAAATATAACGATTATGTTAGCTGACAAAACTAGTGCTTATGTGAATTAAAGTTCAGTTTAATCTAAACAACCTAGCAAAAGAGTGGTAATAGAATTATTAACATCATAGCAACTTGATATTTAATATGTAGCATAAACTTTTGAAAAGACTCAATCAATTAATAATCTTTAAGATATGTTTCCAGATAATTAATCAACAGAATTAAGAAATTCTATGACAAATGAAGAAAGTGAAATAGAAAAATTATCATAAGCTTATGCAGATAAATATTATTATGAGATGAAATTTGAACAATATTAAAATTTACTTACATAATAATAAGGCACAATTACTAAATTGCTTAATGAAAAAAAGGATTTACTTGCTAGACTTGAATCTGCTAAAAGTAATGAAAAAGAAATTAGTCTATTGTAATAATTAGAAGTTAAATTTATTGAAAGTCAAAAAGAAAAATAATAATTATAAATGGAATGTTAATAATATAAATATTAAGTTGAATAATTACTTGTAGCTAATAATGAATTATAATAATCATTTCAATCCTTACATAATTAATTTGTTGAATATAAAGATAAATAAGATAAATATTCAATTAAATAACAAGAATTGATAGCTAAATTAACAGATGATATTGGTAATCAAAAATATTTATAAGAAATACATTCTCAAATGTAAAATATTAAATAATAAAATAATTAACTATCTGAATAATTATCTTAATAGGAACTTAATTTCTAAATCAAATTATAAGAAATATAAGAAAAATATCTTATATAAAGTAATGAATTAACATAAGATTGTGAATCATAAATTGAATAAAAAGAAGAAGAATTACATTTATTAAAAATGGAATATGAAAAATAAAAATCAGAAACATAAAAATTACATAATGAAAACATGTAGCTATAAAATCAAATTTAATAATTAACTTAAAAGTATTCTTTTTTTTATTAATTATTTATAGTTATTAAGATGATATATAAGCTCAAGCATCTTTATTATCTGAATAAGTAGCAGAGTATAAGATAGTTATATAGAATCTTGAAAATTAATTATATCAAATGAACTAAGAAATTAAATAAAGAGATAGATCTTCTTCTAAAGATAGTATGATAAATTCAAGATTGATTTCCAATTATATCAGTAGGTATAAACAATGAAAATGGAATATTAATTTATTCATATTTTATGCTTTTAAAAATATATATATTGTAATTCTATAAGAGAAATGTTAATAATGTATTCGAAACAATATTAATCTTAGTTTAATAAAAAAATTTTGATAATTATTTTTGTTTTATTATTATGGAAATCTTCTTGAATGGTTACCAATATTGCATTCCAGAAAACTTTACATTCTATTAATTATTTTAATAAACAGGCCAACCTGGAAATTTTAACAATAAATTTTGGCAACGAAATGGTTCAAATTTATTAGTAAATTAAAATACTTTGGTAAAAGAGCTTCTCTAAACAAATGATTAAGTCATCTTAATTGTAAGTTAAAATATAAATTTCAAGGACAAGCCATAAAAGCTAGGATCAACAATCTAATCTTAACAAATAGGCACTTTTCCTGGTGCTTAATTTGTAAACCCGTCTTTTCAAATGAATTAAGGAACATAGTAATAGAAAATAATATTTTAATAAAATTAGAGTGTTCCAAATCAATAATTTGGAATGTAATAAGTAGGAATCTAAAGTATGAATCAAATGACATCAAGTAAATCAATAATATAAATAACGAATAGGTTAATAAAATTATTAATCACCTTTGTATAATTTTTAGACAAATATTAATCTTTTGCAAAATCAAAATTTATATTAATAACCTATTATTTCATAGCCATAAACATAAACATAATCAGATGATTATGATGTTTTCCAAACATTTACTGATAATAATCAAAATGCTAATGAAGATATATTTTCAACTCACTATTAATATTCAAATTATGAATAAAACAGATAAAATTATTTGTAAATTAAATCAACATGTCCAGGAAATAAATAGTATAAATCATAATTATTTTAGAGATCAAGTTATAAAAGATAATTATAGATTTACTTTAGATAATTATGGAGATGTTTTAATAATTGACAAATTAGATTAATCATTTTATCTTCAAATATCAAATAAGTTTAAACTAAATAAAGTTAGATAATTTGATATAGGAAATAAGCAAAAATAGTTTGAAAGCAATATTATTTTGGATCTTAATTGTACGAGAGTATCATGGATTCAAGAATTGGATCTATTAGCTGTGTAATTCAACACAGGTGCAATAATTGCAGTATAATTATATCTGGAATGAAAATTATAATATCAAAAATAACAACATCATTATTAATTATTATTATCATATCAATTTCTCTTTCTATACTTTTTAATTATAAATATATTTAATAATTTATTATTAAAATGAGTATTTGTAGAAGAAGTGCTGCATTAATTTTGATAAGGGATGATTTTAATGTATTAATGTTAAAAAGAAATAATGATATATCATTTGGAGGATCATTTGCATTTCCTGGAGGTGTTCTAGAAGAAACAGATTATAAAATAGCTTAAACAGATTAATAATTAATTTAATAAAATCATTTAAAATATTATTGCCATCAAACTCATTCATGGTATGATTCATCATTAATTGCTGCTATTAGAGAAACTACTGAAGAAACTAATATTCAATTAGATTATAAATAATTATATTCATAAATCAAACCATTTATTAGAATAATTACACCTTAAATGATGAAAAAAAGATATGACACCTAATTTTTTATTTTAAATTTAAATAATTATGATACTTTAGATATCAATAAAAATGAAAGTATAAGTTATGAATGGAATACTCCTATTGGATTTTTGGAAAAATTTATTAATAATTAAATAAGTTTATTTCCACCTATATTTTTATAATTGTTATTACTTAAATAATTAGGAAGTTATAATAATATTCTTAAATATATTGATTCAGGAGATTAATTTAAACATACTTATCCTCATATCTTTTAATTTAGTATTTATATTTATTATTATGTATTTATTAGCTAATAAAGGAATTCTTAATTATCCAGATCCTAATTATGATATATAAAAGTTGCTTGAATCTGAATAAACAGATTATTTAAAAAATGAATTTAAAATTAAATATAATTAAATAGAAAGATCAGATTTTAGATTAGAATTAGAAGGAAATTTAAAAAGACTTACAGGACATATAGGAATATTTAAAAATTCACCATTAGCATTATTGAATGGTAATATTGTAAAGGATGGTTAATTTATATAAAATAAACCAAAATTATGAAATTAAATATCAAATAAATTAATTAAATGGTATTTGTATATTATATATAATCACTAAAATTGGAAAGCCTATTAAGTTTTTGGTTTAGATTATCTTTAAACACTACCTGAATTCATATTCATTCTATTATTGTCTCTTAATACATCATGTTATACAGCAGGACTCTATGCTTTAGTTTAAATTTAAGGATTATCTTTTTGTACAGCATAGAATTTTTATTTCATAACTAATAAATCTTTTTCCATTGTTTAATATTTAAGATTTTTTCCTTCTTAATCTTTATTTCTTTATTAAATTTCTTATTTACAATCCTAAAAATTTATAAATAATATATTTTACAATCAATTCTTATATAATTAATTATACAGATTAAATAATCTTATCTCCATCACTACCTTTAATTGTAGAAAATCTATTTTTAATTCCACTTAAATTTAAAATTTAATTAAGTTTAATCATTTCATTATTTAGTCTTTAATTTTCAACAATCAATTTTTACTATAAAAATAAAACAATATAAATACCATATCTAATTTAGATGTATTTTATGAATTATCAGAATCTGTATTTTTTCTATTTTATTATTATTATTATAATAATTTATTTTTTTCTTCTATTTCTTTTTATAATTATTCTGATAAATATAATTTTTCTTATTTTAAACAAGAATTCTCTTATTTTATTGTATTTAAATATCTTATCTTTTATGATGGATTATTATGACCACCAAGTTATGCTATATCTTTTTACATTTCTTCTATTTATTTATATAACATAGATCTTTCATTATTTGATTTAGTTAATTTTTCATGTTATTCTTATAATTCTTTTTTTAATTTTACATTCTCATCTTCTAAAGTATGCATTTATCTTAATGCTTAATCTTTTTAATCTTTCATTTATTCATTTTCATCTTCTCTTTCTTAATTTTAAGACTATTAATATATATTTATATAATTACTAAAATTGCATTATGTTCAGCTTCTAATTTTAAATATTAATCTTTAATATCATTTATTTCTTTTTCTTATTATTTACAAAATTCTTTAGCTCTATCATGAACATTTTTTAATGTCTCTTCATTTTATAAGAGTGCTGACTCTAATTATACTATAATCTTTAATTAATTATATATATATTATACTTATTATTTTTTATCTATTTTCTATTTTAATTCATTATTTTCTTTTGTAACTTTATCAGCAATATGACTATATTATTCTCTTATTTATGATTCTTATTTCATTTAAGATTCTAATCTATTAAATTGATCTTTTAAAAGATTATATTTCTCTTATTATTCATTAAATTATATGTTTTATAAATCATTCTATTTTTAAATTGATTAATATTTATGTACATTTTCTTAAATTTAATGATTACTTTCTTCTAATTAATTTTTTAATTAAATATTAGCATTTTCAAGACCTTAAATTATTTTCTAAATTATATAAATATAAATTTTACTGTAAATTTATTTTAATCAGATTTTAATTTATCTTTTAATTGTTATATATCTTTTTGAGTTTGATGATTTAAATCTTCTTTAGTTTCAAATGCACATTATAATCCATTTATTTATTTATTTAATTATTCAATAACCATATCTTTTTATTATAATTACTTTTAATGAATATCTAATTAATCTACTAATTCTTAAACTTCTTTTTTATGTTAATCTTCATTCTTTTTTAGATGTAAAGAATATTACTTAATTTCTAATTCAAGTTATTTACTTAATTTCTTTACAGATGATTTATTTTCATCTACTTATAATTATTTTTAATCTAATTCTACTCTCATTTAATCTATTTCTTCATGTTATGATTCAATATGTTAATTTAATTATTATATTTCTTTTTTCAATAATAAATTATCTTTACTTGTTAATTCTAATTATTATTATTAATTTGAATTAAAATTATTTAATTACAATTTTAATTAATCTATTTATTATTCCTTTTATTGTAATTCATTTAAACTTTAATTTAATTTTTATTCAATTTTATAAATTTCTTTTTATTTATCACTAATTTAAATTTTTAATATATTGTTATCAGTTTCCATTTAATCTGTTTCTTTCTTCCAAATTTCAGAACTTTTATCTAAAATCTAATTTTATTTATTTAATTCTTATTGTAAATATTCAAATTCTTATTCTTTATCATTTATTTTATTATTCAAAAATTATATTTGATTTTATAATAAATTATTTTAATTTTATGATTCTTATTATTATTATTCTAATTAACTTATTGTTAATTTATATTTATTAGATTCACATTCAATCTCCCTAATTTTATCATTTAAATTAGTTTTTTCATTAGTTAATTATTCAATTGTTCTCATCTTTATTTATAATTTTTATGTCATATCTTACAATTTACCTTATTATTATATTTCCATTGTATTTCTACTTTATAAATTTTCATTCTCTATTGATACTATTTTTTATTATAATTATTGTATCTCTTTTGTTTAACTCTCTAATTTGGACTTATTTTATAGCATATCTCTTTTCAATTCAGAATTAACTTAGTCCTTTTGTTCCATTCTAGCTTACAAAGAAAGATAGAGTTCATGAACTTGATTATAATGATCTGATGTTTCTTGAATTACAGCCTGCTTACTTTCTAATTGCTTTTACAATAACTCTATGCTAGACATCTATTCTTTTTGAATTTCTTCAAACTCTTATTTTTATCTTTCAAACATGCTCTCTAAATGTTAAGCTCTTTAAGTCTCATTCTATATTTTTTAATTTAACAACTATAATAAATAAACCTAAATAAATTACATTAATTTAGAATTCTTATTAAGATTATGTTTCTATAATATAAGTTTCTTTTTCTTTGATTATACAATTTAATGAGATAATCTAAATAATAAATAAAAAATACTTCTTGATTCAATTTGATTAAATCTTAATCCTTTTTTGCATTTAATTAGGATAATTATAACTCAAAATCTTTATTCTATTATTTAATTTAATCTTAATAATTCTTCTCTAAGTTTTAATTTTAAATTAATTAATTTTATTGATATATTGCTATTTCTTCTTAATATTTTTGTTATGTTTATTAAAGTTATAAATGAGTATTTTAAAGATCTTCATCTTTAGAATTTAATTTTTAAATTAAAATACTAATTTCTTATTGCATATCTTACTTTTCCTTTGATATAAGAGAATTTTAATGTTATAAATTTTAGTTATCTATTTATGATTGTTATAATTAAGTAAATAATTCTTATTCTGAGTTTTCTAATTTAGACATGGATAATTATAATTAATCTTAAATTATAACAAGTTGATTTTAATATTTGGAACATTCTTATTTTAAATTTATATTTTCTTACTCTAATTATGAAATAGATTATTAATTTAATTGAAGTTTAGTATTTTAATCATTTAAATTATTTTTTAATTAAGTTATAATACTTTCATAAGTAGATAATTATTATTTTAATTCTTAAATTGTAATATCATTATCAACAATTATTTGATTTAATTATTTTAATTTTTCTTCATTTTCTATCAATTCTTAAGTAATTTAATTATTTTAATTTTATTCATTTAGTATTTATAATTTGAATTCTTCATTTTATTGATTTAATTATTGACATTGATTAGATTATTATTAATTTTAATCTTTTAATAAAATTAATTATTATTCAAGAGTAGCAATTTATTATTTAGAATTATCTTAGAATACTGAAATATTATTTTAAGTTTATTCATAATTAATTTCTATTTCTTATTTTTAAGTTAAAATTTATTGATTTTCAATCTTTAATTATTAAATTACTTTTTCTGAATTATTATATAATTCTTCTAATTCTTAATTTGAATTTTTAAGTTCTTAATTAAGATCAGTAATTTTAAATTTCAAATCTTAAATTTGTTAATCTCTAACATCTACAATTTAATCATTTTCATTAAATGTAATACCATTTTCTTCTAATTTATGGAATATTTATTTTTCAATTTCTTTAATTTATTCTTCCATTTAAACTAATTTTTGTGTTTATTCTGATAACAATTTCTCTTTATATTCTGATTAGGTTTCTAATTCTTTAAATTTATCTAATGTGACATATTATGAATTAAATTATAAATCTAATTATTATTAAAATTATCTTCTTTCATTTAAAGAATTCTAACAAATAAATAATAATAAATACTTAAACAGTTTCAACTATATCTTTTAATAAATTGAGATTTGTATCAACTTGTACTTATACTTTTGATACTGTTTATGTAGCTCCTTATTATTCTTTTAATGTTAAATTTTCATAAAATGTTTTCATAACTAAACCTTATGATTATAATGCATATGCTAATTATTATTAAATTTATTATTGTATATCATCTGCTGATTAATTTAATTTTAATTTTTATATTTATTCATTTTACAATTTTATAACAAATTTTAATTATTATTCTAATTATTATCCTAATTAAAATCCTTCTTTTAATTATTTAATTCCATTTAAATATTTTTCAATTTCTAAAAATAATGCAGTTTCACTTTCAGTTGATTATTCCAAATAACATTTTAATATTTCTTCTAATTTAATATATTTTTAATCATTTATCATTAAACTTTCTAATTCTAATGATTATAAAACTAATTAATAATATAATATTTAATACATTATTCATTAATAAAAGATTATTATTATTATTTTTATTCAAACTTTTTTGGTGATTCCCATTTTTATTAATAAGTAGTAACACTTTTAGCAAGTTCTTATTTTAATCTTTTTATTTCATTCTTTAAACTTTCTAAATTTCCACTTTCATCTTCATTTATTCTAGCTTTATTTTTTACTTATTTGACTCTTTTAGAAAACATAAGAGTTGATAAGGTTTCTTAATAAAACTATTAAGATTATTAAATATTAGCAATTAAATGAGTTCTTGAATTACCTCCCAAAGAATCTTTAAGTAAAAATGTTAATTTAGAATCTCTATAATGTACATATGATTAATTATCTTC